ACGTGGTTGCAGAGCTACCGGGATTTAAAAATAGTTACGCAAAACAGAGCGTGCTGCTCTGACCGGCTTTAAAGGGTTAAAAGCTGATCTGTCTGGTTTATTTCTGGTGTTTTCAGCTTATCGCCCTTTCTTCTGTTGCTCTACCTTGTGCAGATTCTTCAGTTTGGGTGGCAGGTTGTCTCGAATCATTTTCATGGCTTTGAGTGGCGGCTCATTGAAGTACGGTGGCTCCCCATCCACCATCTCTATGACCATGATACCCAGAGACCAGATATCCACCTGGACACAGAGAGGAGAGACCATCAGTGAGGGGTGGAGACAAAAACACAGGTTTATCCTGACAGACAACACAGCCTGAGTGTTACCTCTGGTCCGTAAGGTAATCTGGATATGAGCTCTGGTGCCATCCAGTATGGAGTTCCAACCAGAGACTTCCTTCTCTGCACTTCCTTAGACACCTGTGCACAGAAACCAAAGTCGGACAGCTTCACCTGCAGATGGAGAGGAAGGAGGAGAAGAAGACAAGAAGAAACAGGAACATTATTGTTAACACCAAACATTTTTCCGCAGCTTTTCTCAAACAGACTTTACTTGAGCGAGCAGCTCGTGCTCATTGAGTCTCATTTGTGGACAGTCCCCAAAGCTCTTATTTTGAATGCTCTGTTGTTGCTAAACAGCTAGTTCCAGCACTTCCTGTGTCATGTTTCCCCACCTAGTGACTTGATATCATTCACTCACCCTACAGTCAGAGTGTAAACTGTATATAAAAGATGAATGAAGTCTGATGTTCTCCACACAATCTGACCAAAGAAGGGATGATACTGAGCCAATGATGATACCCTGGTTCATCCCTCATGTTCACGCAGTTCAATAAAAACTAACAAATAAGAGTTTACAGAGAGAGAGCTGAGGCATGTTTTCCCCAAAGCCTCTATAGAGTCAAGGTGATCCCATTACAAACATCTTTTACGGTTCAGCTATGGGTCAGATAGACGCCAAAGGCTAAGACTGCAGCTACCTTCAGATTAAGATGGTGGAGTTAGTGGACTGAATTTTGAAGTGACTTTAAGCTCAGCTGGTCTGAAGTTCCCCAAGTGTGTGTGTGCAATTATTCATTCATTTGTTTAGATAAGTGTGGGTGTACTTTCCTGCCTGCATGATGCACTCATATACAATCTGATTCTGTGTAAAACACAGTTTGGATACTAGATAATAGACTCCTGGTGACAGAGCCAGAAATGTTATCGGTTTACTGTTTCAGCCGCATAAAAATAAACATTCACACAGTTTATCTGATGAACCACACATGACCTCATGTCAGTCAGGCATCGCTGCCATCCACACCTCTTTCTGAGAAAGTTTTTGCATGGCTGCATACTCAGACACGGAGCCTTGTGCTGAGTGTCTGCCACAGTGCTGGCTGCTGGGTTCAGATTGCTCATAAAGAGAAATGAAACGGCCTGTTAGGAGAAGTGGTTCACACTGCACATGTGTGAACACCACCATACACAGACATGAACACGATGGTCACCGAGCTCCACGTCCAGCAGACGATACAGCACAACCCAGAACAAAAACCCGCTGCCTGACCTTACTTTAGGAGGATGAAACCATCACACAAATGCAGCGCTCAGCACGCAGGTGCATTCAGACACAACAAACACTCTCGCCCCTCTGCCGAGAAACGCTTCTTGCTTGGCTGATTCTGCTTCCCCTGCCAGGCCAAACCACAAGCAGCAAGTAAAACCCAGCCCAGCACCAAAACACCACAGCTGCCAACAGGAAGCGCTCCGTGAGAGAACGAGACCACCCAGAGAACTTCAAACTACGGTTTTCAAATAAGCAGACCGCTACTTCCCCCAGAGCCTGCATGCACATCAGTGCTTCATGTTTTATTGTAAC